TATATATATAAATAGAATTTAAATTTTATATGCATAATTGCCCTTTCTCTTGGTAATGTTAATAAAAATACTGAGGACCAACTATTTAGACGTTACAAAATGATTTTACCTTTTCCAAATAGGGATGCACAACGTGCATCAGGATCTTGGCAGTCTCCACTATGACATACATGTTGTCCTCCTTTACATAAATTTCCATTGAGCATAGTTATATCAGGTGGACACTCTGGTGAGACTCCATCACAAACCTCAGCAAGATCACATTCAGCATTCACTCTGCGCCTACATTCAACACCTGCTTCTGCAAGCTAATAGAAATTAAAATATTAAAAATAAAGCATTATATATAAGATTTTTGTGTTTATCAATATTTATTTCAAAATTGTGTTAATTCCACGTATAGTTTAATGATCTATTTATTCATTAATGTCTATCAGTATCTTCTTTGCATAAAGCATCATGCTAATCATATTTTTTAAAAATTGAATGTTATCAACTAAAACAGGAGATAAGACATATGTACAAGGAAAAGTATAGCACAAATATGATGTGATGAGAGCCAAAGTTTTGTTTGTGTTTCGGTGCAAGGGAGGAAAAATCACTTTTAGCTTGGATAATTATTTCTTTTGGGTGAAACAAAGTGTAATTTAGACAATTTCTGAATAAAATATGTTTATTCGAACTGTAGCTTGTAAGTGTGGAATATTTATAATTCCATGACAAATGTGAAACATAAATAACTGAGAACAAACAGAGGAAAACTGAAGGGTGATTAAAGAGGCAGTTCAACTACAGAAGTCTGCAGAGGAAGCAACGCAATTGTAACTTTTATCCTGAATTACCCTATAGTTAATTAACACTTCCACATATAGAATTCTGAAAATTTATATAAAGAATATTTATGGGCATCTATCTCATACTTCTGAATTGATGACTTCCAGCTGACACTAAAAAGGCCACAGAGGTAAGAATGTAACCATGTTATAAGATTCTAGAAAAAAATAACATAAAACTGTGTCAGTCAAGGACAGTCAAGAACACAGAACCCAGGGCAGGTAGTTCAACAGAGGGATTTTCATATGATGAATCTGTTACAAATAGATTGGAAGAGTTGAAAAGGAAAACAAGGGACATGAGTCAACATCTTCACCATATAAACTAAAATATGATCTTTAAGTCAAATGATCTTTGAATAATAAGTTCATAGTTTAAATTTTGTGCTAACATGTAGCATTTGGAAAGTGTTACTTCCCATAAGTTTCATTATTTACACATGCATGGGAAACTGTGGTATCTTTCAATTACATACCTACAGATACCTATCACAGCCAGTAACAACATTTTTATTTATAAAAATATAAATATTGGATAGAGTGAATGAAAATAGTCCCTCTTAATGGAGACCTTCTGTACTGAAGAATTCTATAACAGCTCTCAATAAAGACTTAAAAACAACA